TAATTGTGCTTTAGCCCCTCTAATTATGGATGCAACCAAAAGGTTGCCCTTGCCTAGTCTCGCACACATCTTCTAAAAGCCCTACAGCCCCACTGTTATAAGCAGAATAACTCACATGAAGAGCAAGAGATGTGAGGAGAGACCTCCTCCCAAGCTGTGTTTGTGAATAGGAGCAGGGGAGTGCAGAAGGTCTAAGATACAGCAGCTCGCTAGAAAGTTCCAAGATACAATGCACCTTTGGGCTACGCCAAGAGCTCTTCAAAACCACTCTAGTCATCAGCTTAGTTTATCAAATCATGACATGAGCACCTCTCTCATAAGTGCACCACCATTTAGAAACAACTCCCAGTTGCTTCCCACCCACACAGCGTGATAGGAATAGATGCACAGTGTTAACGTGCATCTCAGACGATCCAAACCAACCTTGTTCCCCTCTCCATCCCCCCAACAATATACAAGGACTGGCACGCTTCTCTCAAAAAAATCTCAACAGGCAGGCTATGTTTGAGCTGAAGGTGAGGGTTTCAGCAAGGATGAGAGCAACAGGGTACACTTCTGATACTGAAATTCATCCCTATTTGTGGAGCTTTGTAGTCCAGCCACAAGGGGCCTCTAAGGTCTTCCAGTGGCAGGATACATGTGCCGAGATGGCTGAAATGTTATCATTGCCTTGACCTGACCATTTTCTGTAATTACATCAACAGGAAAGTGTGCTCAGGCAATTTAATGATATGCTAATCGAGTCTGGTTTGGAACAGAAATCGAGTTTATATTAATGTTCTTCCAGAGCAGCCACTACCTAACAGGAATCCAGTGATAAAGCTGGCAAATGTCACAGCAGTTATTCCATATTGAGAACCAGCTCCGAGCCTGCAGGACCATAAAAGCTGCATTAGTAAAGAAAAACCCAGGGGTTATGATTACAGCAAATTCATTAAACATCTTTCTGTAAGCAACCCATAGCACAAAGGGCACAAGCACCACCAAAGGAGACAAGCAAATCTCTCAGCCATCATACCATTTGGAGATCCCTTCCATGTTCCAAAAAGTTGGTATTTCCCAGAGACAGAGAAACCACTGGGTTTAGAGACAGAGCTGCCAGATTCTATACCAACCTGACGTCTGGAAGGCTATCTGGATAGGGTTGGATAAACCGTTCACTGCTTCTCGCCACATGCCACCACCACCTGGAGACCAGGCAGTCACCACACAGCGATACAGCCCAGCATCAGAAATCTGGGTCTGGTACATCCTGTAACGGAACTCATTCTCCTGGACCTTCTCCAGCACCACACCGTCCACACGGGTCTGATCCGTCCAGTCTTCCAGCCGCACTACTGAATCCTGGTTCAAGGAGATTATGCGAGTGGTTCCATTGGGATTGGACTGATCCGCTAGTGGCTTCTCAGCTGTAATGAGGACAGAATAGCGTGGCGTCTTGATGTTTTTTGAAGACACTTTGCATGTCATCTCAAAGGTGTGGCCCGCGACAAAGAATGGCTTCAATTTCACCGCCTCCACTGTAAGCGTGTAATCTGAAGAGGGAAGGAAATAAGAAGCAAGAGAGGGGTTAATGAATAGGTGCAGATATTTCTGCAGCACCTTTCAATCTAGATTACTACAAATAAGCAAAGTACTTCTTTCTGGAGAGACAAATCCCAGCACATTTATCTAAACACATATGGACATCCCAGAACACTGCTCAACAGCACGCACACACCAGTACACAACAGTTGGGGTCAAGATGTTCAAACAAACAAAAATACTGAGCAGATAATGCAAAATGCAGGTCATAGTGTGACAGGACCTTCAGGACTTTTGATTCCGTAGTAAAAATATTAGTCAGGCAAGACTCAGAGTCCCAGTTTCACACTGGATCTGGAAGAGCACTCTCAGCCACAGGTTACAAGGGCACTGTTGAAGTACCCATGACTAGTGACAAAAGCTGCCACTAACTGAATCAGCAGCACTTAGCATAGCTTTTTATTTCCCTCAAAAATCTGCCTAACAGCTATGCAGACACATTCAGCTGAAACCTCTGCCTTCATGTGCATTCCCTTGCTTCTCACGCACTCACCTGAGTACAAGCCCACTAGAAGCCTTGACATTTCCCAACAGCCCATTTGGCATCAAGAACGCCAGCTACACTTACTGCTCAGTTTCTTCTCTTTATTCTGCATTCTCCAGGTCTGCCAGCTCCTCAATCCCAAGAATCCTTTAATTACAGGGTTTGGGAAAATTATACATCCAGGAGCGCAGCCCCAAGACACAAAAAAATAAAAGCTCACAATAAGAAAATGAGAAAATGAGGAGTGACTGAAATCAGAACTAGATAAAAGGAAAGGGAGTTGCTAGCTTGCTGGCACTGTGATGAAGAGACATCCCACCTACTCATGTTCTTCCTAAGGAAAGGGTGCTGGGACACAACAAACATCTTAAATCCACTTCCCAAAGTAGCAGCATTGCAAGAACTCAGCCATCCTGACTTTCTGGACTTCCTTCGCTACAGCATACTCACCCTTCGCCTCCTTCCCTTATAAAAAACATTTTAAAAACCCCGAACTAGGGAGCCATCTTCTATGCAAGGTCAAACCTCTCAGGAAAAGGGAGACAAGCAATGGTGAGATTGTTACACAATCCCCAAAACTGAACCAAATGTAGTAATATTTATGCTCTCCCCACAAGAGCAACAAGATACTTGTCAAGATTACATTTTGCAGTGTTTTGCCTTCAAGCAGCAGTTTTCACAATGAGTAAACACAGCCCACAAGATGAGAAACCCGGTATGACAACTTTAAATCAGTGCTGTATAAAGCAGATCACAGTACAAAGCTATATAAAGAAACAGCAGGAGCGGGGAAGGCTGAGCTGCTTCTAGTGGTCCAGCTGAGCACAGAATTGCTTGACACTCCACACCATCCCTCCACCCCCCCTTCCACCCGCTAAGCAAGTAGGAATACAAGAGTTTCCCATTTAGGCGCTCGGGGTGCAATCCCAATTGATTTTACACACAGAGATGCTCTCTACTCCCTTATGTGAGAACCCATCACATATCAGATTCTAGACTTCAGATCCATTTTTTCCTCATTTTGTGTCCATAAGGTTCTGCTATCACCCTCTTCATAAGGTCGCAGCATGTGAGAGCCCAGCACAGACCAGCTTGCAGCACATTTTGGGGATCTAGTAGACAATTATATTTTTGCCCCAAAAGCAGAAGCACAAGCAGCTAGCCATACTTCTCTGCCACATTTGGCTGCTTGCTAGGCCTTGTGAGGAGGCTCTGGGCAAAAATCCCTCCTGATACACATGTTCTTTGTGCTGTTGATCTTCAGGTCAGAGGTCTGAGTCCTAGACACCAGAAATCTTGCACTTGGTCTCTCCTACACGTCCTCAAAGACAAATACCTTCACATGTTCAGAGCAGTACAGATGTAGCCGAGCAGAGACGACTCTCCCTACTATCGGGGCTCCCAATGCCTGCCCACAGCTATTCTGAGCCACAGGCCAGGCAGCAGTACACAGCAGAGTGTCTTGCCCCAAGTAAGGACAGAGCAAACTGTTCCTAGGCATCCCTCCTTGACCTTCCATTTCAGGGCAACAGAAAATACTGCTTTTACCAATTATTTTTGTTAAAGAAAAGCAGAAAGGAATGGTGGTAGCATGAGACAGCAGCAGAAATAATATCTGTAGTTTGTGGAAGAGAACATACAAGGTCTAGAGATGCAGCTGGAAAACAGTGATAGAATTTAAAAGTGTTAGAAATTCAGATACTGAGCAGAACAGGCAGACATATTCTTATGGAAGTCCTTCCAAAGGATACTTCCACTTTTCAAAACCCAAAATTCGTCAGGTTGGATGAATACCAAAGGCAGAGGCACCTTCTCTTACGAAAGGCCATAAGAAATGCATGCCAGAACAGAGAAGTGGACACAAAATCCAGTATATACAGGTCCTGAATGTTTCTTGTTGCAATAAAGTAAAAAAAAAAAAAAACAAACAAAAAAACCCCACCAACAATAACATTTCTGAATCTGCAATAATAGTGAAACCTGTGTATGTAGTAAAGTAAAACAACAAAAAAAAGCCCCATATGCTACCAACTAGAAAAACTAGGATCACCATTCTTATACAGCATGCTTCTGTGCCAAAATTGTTCTCCTTCAGCAGCTGCAGACAAAATGTAATTAGCACTCCATCACCCCCACATAGAAAAGCATGTAGTTGTCTCTCTGCATGTAGCAGTGCACATTATGGGAAAGATGAGAAACTCAAGATTTGGCACTTAGGTTAGAAATAACAGTAATCTGCAAGAAAAGTTAAGTGGAAAAGGAGAATTTCTTCATGTTTCCTATGTTAACAGAAACCACTCATCAGATCTTATAGCATAAGATGGGCCAGGGAGGTCAAAGATTTTCTTTTAAGAACTGCATCCTAAGATCTTATTTTTAATCTTCCTGGAATTACCAAGGAGGCAACGTCTGTACCCTGCACGCTTGCCCCTCCACACTCACCCCTGCAATCCCAGGCAGAGTCTCACTTCCTTGTAAAGCTCCCCGAATGCAAACCTGGTAATACACACCCTGGTCAGCCACACACGGCTGCAATTGGCAGCTTATGTTGGAAAGCGGTAGCGGAAGAGACCCCAAGGAAACCATACCCAAAGCTTAGAACCAGTTTGAGCGCTGCGCCCAGACAGCGGGCTAGCAGCAGAAGAAACCCTAGCCAAAGGATTCAGATAAAATTTGAGTAGTAAACTGAACTTTGGAGCCTGGCAGTGCGTGCCTCTGCCTTCCATCCTTGGCCACTCCAAGTGGTTAAGCCACACTATAATTCTCCGTCTCTCTCCCACACAGTGCATGCTCACGTTAGAGTACTTCAGGGCAGTAACCAGAAAGAGTTTTCACCTAATCTAAGGCAGTCAAATTGCTGGAGAAGACTAATGGCTACAAGGGCACACAGACATTAAGAAACAGCCAACACCTTCCCCTGCACACCACTGACTCCAGTCAGAAAAGCAGCACAATGGCCATGGCTAACAGTAGGCTCTGAGCACAACATCTCCTCAGCATCCCCAAGTAACACCATCTCAATAGTCGTAAGGCTTCTCCATCCCCCAGTGCACTAGCTAGATGGCAAGCACAGGGAATCAACAGACACTTAAGTAATGACAGCTTTGCCTGTAGAAGGAGACTACACAGCACCCTGAGGTACAATTTCAGCCCCAGCAGCTCGGATACCAAGAGCTCGGAAGCCTCAGCAGGCACGCACCGCAGCCCGATACGCATACACACGACGCAACGGCTCTCCCCGCTGCTGCGCACACACCAGACCACCCTCACTGGCCTGCTCCCCTGCCAAGCACAGAGCACCAACATGTCACCCTCACGCAGCCGTGGGGAGCCCAGCCCCCCTGACTGGCGCTTGTACACCCAACTTCATGCACTTTCCGGTCCCTACAGCCAAACTGGCAGGCACCCCCGGCAGCTTGGTGCCATGGATATAGGAATTTCTTTGCTCAGGAGGAACTGCATGTCTGTACCATGCAGTATCTATTATACACCAGCAATGGTACAGACAAGGGGGAGGGGAGGGAGGGGTAGAAATATCACCTGGCTCTCTATTCATGGAATTTCTGAAAGATTAAGATGTCCTTGCTCCCAATTATATGTGATGGGAGGGCCTGGGCAAGCATTTAAGACAAGTTAAATTATGTTAAATACAAGTATTTTGTAAATTAAAGACAGAAGTATTAGCAAAGCCCCAAATAATAGTACCTTTGGGATTTGGAATTTCAATTAAGAGATAATGTTCTCCTTTGCAAAGGATTCCACGCAGATCCAAACCTGATAACACTGGTTTAAGAAACAAGCATCAATTCTGCATTCCACTGCAAACAGCAACTGTGTTTCAAATATAGGCAGGACTCACACTCAAACGAATTAATTAAAAGATTTTAAACTACCAACCTTTTTTTCTGGGTTGAAAATCATCTATACAGACAGAGCCAGTCAAAAAAAAAAAGTTTCCTCACTTCCTTAAATCCCCTTTTTACTAATTGGAATCTGTACTCTAAATAAGCAAAACAACAATATAATTGATGTTTTTCATTTTTGAGGTGAGACAAGGATGTTTTCTTTGTCACCTTGGCAGGGGTGGAAGAAACAAATCAGGCAGGCCATGTCAAAAACAAGGGTGATCTATGACAGCGATTGGCGGCATTTGCAGAGCTGAGTAAGCAGAAAGACATGTAAGCATTTTTGGTCCCAACAGAACAAAATAGGGA